AAGCGGGACCGCCAAGCAAGCGAGGCCAAACATGAGTTAAGGGGGACACCCCCTCCGCAAAAAGCGCTGCTTAGCCTAAACAGCTGCGGGAGCAGGGAGGAGGAGGGGCGACAGAGCACTACGGCCAGGGGAGAATAAAACCGTTTAGGCGCATGCCAAACGAAACCATTCGCTCTAGACATCCTGCCAAAATGCAAGGAAATCCTGGCAAAACAAGCGAATTAGTCGAGACATCCTCAAAATTCCTGCGAGCGGGGCGCGGCACGCGCGAGACATCCTCGGAATTCCTGCGCGCGGGGCGCTTTTCCGCGTCGCGGTCGGGGTTCCCGACTTAGGTTTATGTTTGAAGATTCTGCTAAAAGTGCCCCGCGCTTTTTTTTGCCAAGGAAAACGGTGGTCCGCGGACCCCGTTATTTATCGAGGATCCGAGATGGGGGGTCGACTTTCCTCGAGCGGGCACGCGCGAAACGCATTTTTTCACGACGAATTGGACTTCACCTCGTTTTCTATCGAGAAAAATTCCGCCGGCCCCCTTCAAGTCAAAACCGGGGGTAAACAAACTAAAAGAAGGGGATTGTCCGAATCATCCGCCACGGCGCGAAACCAGAAGGCCTGTGAGAAACACGCAGCGATAGAGGCGCACGACGCCGGCAGTGACCGCCAGGCGCGCACGCGGATGAGGCTCACCCCCCGCGGCGTGGACTACCGGGCAGTAGGTGGAACGGAGGGGAGAGAGCAGGCAGGGGCAGAGGCAGGAGGGGGGCCCGGAGAGACGACGGCGGGGGGCCCCACGACGCGGCCGAGCCCACGACCGACGACGGCGACGACGGAGCGAACCCCACGACCCAAAAGGAGGAGGAAGCCCGACGAACCGCCGCGGAGGGGAGCGCCGCAGAAGAGAGCAGCCGGAAAGCCGCGCCACCTCCGCGGGCCAAGGCCAGGAGAAGCGAACAAAGGCGAGCGAAAAACAAGTGAAACGCGGCAAGACCACGGCGCGACGACTGGCGCGCGCCCAGAGAGCGACTAGGCGGCGAGCAACGGAGCAAACCAGGCAGCATCGGCGCGCGACATGGGCGCGTGACAAACATGAGCGACTAGTCGGCGCGTGAAAGGGCCAAACACTCATGGCGGCCTGACTGCGCGGCAGTTTCCTGCCGGCGACTAGGGCGTCATATCTCACAACCTGCAGGAAACCGCGCAGGAAGCTCACGCCGCGCCGCCATGGTCCCAGCGCTTTGCCGCCGAACAGCGCAACGGCAGCTCTCCGAGCGATCTTGCCATGGCCCCCCGCCGCTCGATACGGGCCACGAGCTGTCTCTTGGAGGCGCCCTCCAGGCCAGCCAAGTGTCCGACCAAATCTCGTCTGCTTTGGGATGATCAGTCGGGTCTGCCGAGGCTGGCGCGGCGCGCGCGCTGGCCGGTTCACGCCCGAGCATTGGGAAGGAGCACAGGACGTCGATTTCGACCTGTCGTGGGACCATGTCTGGGCGAGCTCGCCCCTTCCATTTTTTCTCGGGCCCCAGGTAAAGTGGCCCCAGCGTTCGCGACTCTACGGGGAGTCAGCCCACGCCTTCTTGACCACCAGCCAGAGGCTACCCTGCGTTAGCCGGGCGAGTCTGTCCCAAGACGGCGCCTCCGCAGCGGGCGCGCGGGCCATGATCGGCGGGGGGCCGGTGGAAAGCACGCGTCTGTCGTGCGTCGCGGCCACGGTCGCTCGCAACGCCGGCTGCCAGTCTGCCGTCCGCGACGCAGTCGGCAAGACAGCTGGCGCAAGCGAGCTCTGGACCTCCAGTCGCGCATCGGCGCCTGCAGCTCCGCTGTCCGAGCGCGAGGGGCGGCCGCGCACGCCCCGGGCCCGCTGGGAGCAGGCCGCCTGCTTCCTCGGCCTGGGCTGGCGGCTCCACGTTGCTTCACTGGCCGGCGCGGATAAGGGCGGCGCCAGCGAGCCTGCCGGAGCGCCCGCGCCCGCCGGGGAACGGCGGCGTCATCCTCGACCGCGGTCCGCCCACCGCGGACGTTGGACCAGTTCGCTCGCGGGGCTCTCTCCGCCCCCGCGCGCCCGCCCGCCGCCGCCGCGCTCGCCTTGGGCCCACGCCGTCGCGGTCGGGCGGCAAAGGCCGCGGCGGCACGACGCGGCCGTCAGCAACGACGAGGCGGCGCAGGGCAAGCTCGCCCCGCCCCCCTGGGTCTGGAACGCTGTCGCCAGGCAGCAGTTGGTCGGAGCCATGCGGATCGAGGTATCCTTCCTCCTCGCCCCTCCCTGATCTCCGAGCGTCGTCCGCCCCGCCCTTATCCGCTTGTGATTGGGCGGGGACTCCACATGAACGGACATGAAGCATCGGCGGGTCTAGGGCCAGCCGCCCCGGCGCCTCGAGGCCTCCCCTGCACCCCGCATCACCCAAAGATCGGCGGGCATGGCTCACACAGGATCAAAAAGATTGGTGGCGTAGCGTCGACAAGATTGGCGGCGTAGCATCGACAGGATCGGCGCGCGCATCCAGGACAGCCTGCTCGAACCCCCCGTCGACGCCCACCTCCAGAATCACGTCGACTGCCTCCTTCATCTCGACGCCCCCCTCCTCCTCCATGGCCACCTTCTGGTCGCCCTCCTCGCCATCCTCAAACTCTGCCTCCTCGTCGACCCTTCCGACGCCCGCCTCCACGAACTCCTCCGCCTCGTCGTCGACGTCTCCCTGCACCCCCCCCTTGATCGAACCGCCACTGACAGGGCCTGCTGTCACTTCCCCTTCTCGCATGCGCTGATGGGGGCGCTGTAGCGGAGCGGATGATGCGGGAGCTTCGCACCCAGCATCTCGTCGCGCAGCGCTAGGGACGGCAGCCGCTTCCCCTGCCTGTCCTTCTCGCACGCGCTGATCGGGCTGTTGGAGCAGATGCTGGCGGGCCCCGGCTTCACTCCCACCGCTTCTCTGAGCGTCGCGAGGGCCAGCCGCCACTGCCCCTGCCAGTCCTTTTTGCACGCGCTGATCAGGGCGCTGCAGCAGATGATGGTGGGCTCCAGCCTCACACCCAGCATCTCGCTGCGCACGTTCATCCCGCACGTGCTGATCGGGGCGCTGTTGCAGATGAGGGTGGTCTCCAGCTTCAACTCCAGGATTTCGCTGAGCGGCGCTAGGGCCAGCTGCCACTGCCCCTGCCTGTCCTTCTCGCAGGCGCTGATCGGGGTGCTGGAGCAGACAATAATAGGCCCCAGCTTCACACCCAGCATCTCCTGACCCCACCCGCGGCGATCCAGAGGCCGCCGCGACGCCGACCAGCGCGCCGTCCGCCACCGCCACCGCCGAAGGGGAACCAGCAGCGGCGGCGGCAGCAGCAGCCGTGGCGGCGGCAGTAGCAGCGGCCAGGGCGGGACCACCGACCGAGGAGGGCTGTGGCGGCCGCGCTGCCAGCCGCGACGGCCGGGGCCGGCGGGCCGCGAGAGGCGGCCGCGGCGGCGGCCGAGGCGGGTCCAGCACCAGAAGCAGCAGTGCCCAGGCGGGCAGCAGCCGCGGCGCCCAGCCGGTTGCATGCCGCAACGGCAGCGGCGCTGGCCGCCGGCGCGGCAAGCCCGGCAGAGCACGCCACAGCCGTGGCGGCCGGCCAGAGGCCAACGGCAGCCGCCGCCTCGCAGGCGGCCGCGGCATCGGCACAGATGGCAGCGGCGTCGGAGCACAGAGGCCCAGCGGCCGCAGCCGAGGCCGCCGCGCCGGCGTCGCTGGAGATCCCCCCAGCAGCAGCGGCGGCAGCAGCGGCAGCCTCGGAGAAGAGATCCGTACCCGTCGGCCCTACGGCAGTCGACGGGCAAGCAGCGGCAACACGAGCCGCTCCAGACACCCCAGCAGCCACCCACTCGGCCGCTCCAGCGGCCTCAGCGGCAGCGGCAGCATCCGCGACTTAACGGGACGCGGCGGCCAGGGCCGCCGAGCAAGCCGCAGCGGCCGCGGCAGGCGGAGCTGCCCCAGGGAGGGCCGCGGCGGCCACGGCGACTGCAGCGTCGGCAGCCGCCAGGGCGGCGCGGGCGAGGAGCCGAGGCCGCAGCGCCGTCGGCCGCGCCAGTAGCACGGGCCGCGGCACCCGCGGCGGCAGTCGCGGCGCCCACAGGGCCAGCGTCGCCAGGCGCGATGGCGGCACCGAGGCCAGCAGCGCCGGCTTGGGCCGCCGCGTCCGCAGCCGACGGCGGCGCAGACGCCGGCGGAGCGCCTCGGCGGCCGACCGCGAGGCCAGGCGGCACGGCGCCGGCAGCCGGGGCAGCGGCCCTGCCGGCAGCCGCACGCCGCGGGCGGCGGCGCAGTGCAGAGCGGGGTTCCATGGGCACGGGGGGGACGGGGCCGTGATGGGAGAGAGCTCCTTCACAGCCCCACCCCAGGCAAGCCGGCGGTCGGGGGACGGCCGGCACCGCGGCGGCAGCCGCTGCGGCTCCCCTCGAGCCAGAGCGGCTTGAGCCAAAGACGGGGGGGAGGTACGGACACACACGCACACACACACACACACACACTCACAAGAGGTCAGCAAGGGCACGACAGCTTTGGTTGGGGCGGTGCTTAGGGACGGGCAACTATGCGATGCCTTACAGTACAACTGATTTCCAAGAGAGTCGAGGATGGAACAATGATGTGGTGGAGGGCACCTAGGACAAGACGATGTATTAGACTAGTGTTCATTGCGACGAGAAGCATCAATTCACGAAGACCAGTCACGGCACGTGAGAACCACACACAGCACGAGAGCGCTGGACAAGGCAATGAAGACTGTGACTGCAGCTTGTCAAGCTTCAACCTGTATCATTTACCCACACAACCCAACGTGGATACCCTGGACATGTTCTGAACGGCAGCACTGCAGTGGCTCGTGTTGGCTCCGTGCGCTGCGTGGTCACAGGCGACGGAATGCTGGAAGCGAGTAGGCAGCACTTCATAATGCGCTGGCGAAAGAAGTAGCCAGCACTTCATAATGCGCTGGCGAATGAAGCAATGATGCGAAGATGCCTCAAAGGAGAAGTCCCGCCACCTCTGTGCAGAGCTTCTGCAACCGCTTGGGCCCTCCCTGGCTGACCACCCAGGGATCGGAGAACGCATCAGCCAGGGACTTTCTCTCATGAGGATTCACCTGACGGGGCGCATGGGATTGAATAAAGGTTGTGGAATCCGCAAGCGCAATGTCCGAACCTACCCAGGTCGAAGCAATAGCAATGAGTCGCTTGCTGGGTACCTTGCATAGGCCGCCGGACTTGCAGAGAGAAAGAATCCATAGAATGCACCTCCTGGTTTAACTAGGAGTATCCTCTAAAATCCGAACGGCGTCTTTGATATGTGCATGTAGAAAGATGAGTATATCTACATAGATATGTATGAATGTGTACGAATGTGTGGGGGGGGCTCTTGATAGTTGGATGTGTGTCAACCAGTCGATGAGTCTGTGTAAATATCCCCCGGCCCCCTTGTGGGGCCACCAGGCTGTAGGCCCGTGATTCGCAGTTTCCTGTACCAGTCGTAGGTTGTAGTTTCCAGTGTTACAGTTCTGCTTCTTGCTGGTTACTGTAACTAGTTGACTTATTGCTAGTTACTGTAACTAGTTGATTGACCGCGCGAGGGGGGGGAGGCCAAAACCGGCTTTTTAGCACCCCCTGGGCGCGTTGTCTGAATTGCTGGGGGCTCGGAATCGACACCCCTCACGCAGATCCGCGGGGTCAGGGTCCAAAAACACATGGGATTTGCCACATTTCTGAAATTCGGTGCCACCCCTCACGCAGATCCGCGGGGTCAGGGTCCAAAAACACATGGGATTTGCCACATTTCTGAAATTCGGTGCCACCCCTCACGCAGATCCGCGGGGTCAGGGTCCAAAAACACATGGGATTTGCCACATTTCTGAAATTCGGTGCCACCCCTCACGCAGATCCGCGGGGTCAGGGTCCAAAAACACAAGGGATTTGCCACATTTCTGAAATTCGGTGCCACCCCTCACGCAGATCCGCGGGTCAGGGTCCAAAAACACATGGGATTTGCCACATTTCTGAAATTCGGTGCCACCCCTCACGCAGATCCGCGGGGTCAGGGTCCAAAAACACAGGGGATTTGCGACATTTCTGAAATTCGGTGTCACCCCTCACGCAGACCCGCAGGGTCAGGGTCCAAAAACACAGGGGATTTGCTACATTGCTGAAATTCGGTGCCACCACTCACGCACATCCATCGCAAGGCGTGGTAACCCAAACTGCGAGTGCTCCCTCGGACCTTTAATCCAAAGGTGTGGTAACCAAGCTCGTAAACCACCATACACGTCTTACCAATCGCCCTGTGTGGTAACCCCTCTTGTGATCAGTTGGTTTTGCCGATTGCGAATCGGCCTCGCATGAAGTTCCGATACTGCTGCACGACAGCGCCAAAGCCTCATGACTTAGCTCTTCCATGGCCCATTCTCCGAGAGAGGGGGCCGGCGGCAGGGGGCGAAGCCCTTACGGATAAGATATGTATACGTGCGTCGGCATGTACAAATATTTGCAAAGCCACACGTACAGCGTTCGCTCTTTATACATCTGTATACACAGATCAAGGAAGAAGGAACACGCCATCTGAGCAATGAGTGGTGCACTACTAATGTGGTCACGTCCACACTATAGAAACATGAGGCTGCAACGATGGGCATGTCGATATACACTCCCGGCGGCAGGAGGCCCTAAACGACGCTTTCCGGAGTAAGCCCACAGAGAGTGACGAGTGTTCCAGAAAAAAATCCAGACACTGCGGAAGGGGAAACCAGACGGGAGACCATAGGGTTGTGGATGCCATGACAATGGACACTCTATCAATCCTATCTTTGGAATAAAAATCTCTTTAAAATGTGTAGAACATGCTCTAAACATGTTTCGAACATGTTTTTGACACATTCTTTTTTACATCTGGAAATAATTTGGCAGCATGCTTCGTCTCCAGTGATCGCCCTCCACAACCACAGGGGAGGACCGAAGGGAGCCCAGACGGGAGACCACGCTCGGGAGCGGCCAAGAGGGGGGTGTCCAAGAGGGGGGGGTGCAAATGATGACCGGCGGCATGTGCGCGGCCCAGCGGGGGGGCCAGGGGCGTAATGAAATAAGACGAGGCGCCATGAAATCTGAGGACATAGCATGGCCCCCGCCAGGATGTCCGCCCCCCCCCCCCCAGTCGTCACCCCCCTCTTTGCCGCCCCCGACACACGGGAGACCACACAGAAGAACACAACGGAGGAGGGGAGGGGGGAGAGGAGGAGGGGGAGGAGAAGGAGGGGGAGGTGGAGGAGGAGGAAGGAGGAGGAGGAGAGGAGGAGGAGGAGGAGGAGAGGAGGAGGAGGAGGGAGGAGAGGAGGAGGAGGAGGAGGAGGAGGAGGAGGAGATGGAGGGAGGAGGACCCCGCGGGAGGCCAGACGGGAGACCACACGCGGGAGAGCGCACAGGGAGAGCACGCCGGAGACCATGCGGGGGACCCCACGGCGAACCATATAAGAGAAAAGTCCCGCGCGAGAGCTCACTCGGAGGACCGCGCGGGAGACCCCTCGGGAGGCCCCTCCGGAGGACCAGACGGGAGGCCACACGGCCACGCGCAAGACCACGCGAGAAACCACGTTAGGGGAACAAAAAGTGGCATAAGCACAAAAACTCGGAGGTCCGCGCGGATTTCTCGGATCGGCGCTGGACGCCCCTCCCTGGCGCGCGGAGCGCGCCAGGGGCGGCGCCGGAGGCGCCGCCGGGGGGGCCCAGCGCCGATCCGAGAAATCCGCTCTGACCTCCGAGTTTTTATGTTTATGTCACTTTTTGTTCCCCTACACGTGCCCTGGGCCACCCGCTCCGGATCGGGAGGGGCTCGCGGGATCCAGACCCGCAGGGGCTCCAGGATCCTCACAGACTTTTTGATCTGCAGGGCGAGAGCGAACCTCTTCCGCTGAAAGCTAAGCGGGACGCGCACAGCTTTAATTCGCAGAGAAAGGGAGGACCCATCCTCACAGACGAGCTGTCTGGGAAATTCGCACAACAAGCAACAACGCGCACGACTGGAACACGGTACAACAAACCAGCGGCCAAAAACTCGCACGGAAGACCGGCGCCCGGCTGGCAGGGGTGCCCCGTGGGCTCCCCTAGCCTGCTGAGGACAGACAGCGAGCGAAGAAGAAGATGTATAGTCTCGAGGATATGATAACAATCCAAGGGAGAGAGAAAGTGCGAGGTACAAAGGGAGCTAAAGTGGAGGCGAACAGGAAGAATGAACAAACAGACGACGTGGTTGACTGGACGGGATGACAGACCGGCCCTGCAACGTTGCTTCGACATCGTGGCGCCCAGACAACAAATTCTATATAATTCTATTCGATTGGATCACTCGCTTTCCCACAAGCCTTGCACCACGTTGGCTCGCTTGGGCCACATTGGTTTGATGCGCCATGCATCAATTCGGATCACGGCAGTAATGCACTGCTCCACCCAACGAAGAATTACGTATTGCATGCTGCAAGCTCAGCGCAAATAGCTCTACCGCGTCTGACGCATCGATATCAGGACCATGTTGCAATTACCAAGCGCGACATTCAAAACCCCTTGCTCTCTCTATGACTCCTGGTACTACTATCATCGATGACGCCCCTCGTCCATCTCGCTACCCCGTGGCCTTGATGAACCCATTGACCAAAGCCTTCGCCTGATCAGAGATTTCGCGTGCCATCCCACTGAACGAGATACTTCCTCTCCGAATCTGGTTCTCCATCGTATCCGAGACACCGTCAAAGGGATAGTGCCCAACCAGCATAACCTTGGATAGCGTCAATGGCTGATCCACCCACTCAAGCGGAAGTGACTCGAGAAGAAGCATGCACGCGGAATCACAGCACCATCAACAAAAATGATCAACCCACGAACCCGGAAAGGAATATAGAAATGTCACGCATGGCAGCGTTTTCAAAGACACCTGATTGGGTGACGGGCAAATGCAATGCTGAGTGTATCGATCTTGATGTACCCTGCCGAGGGCTGTGCTGTGCTGCACCGTGCTGAATTGCGATGTGCCATGCCGCGATTGTGCTCTATAGCGTTGTGGATCGAGTCCTCCTTTGCATCCGAGCCCTGACCGAACTGATCTGGATCTTAAGCTCGAGCTGCCTGAACACACAGTAGCTGCCCCAGAGCTAATTGACAGGGGGACATGCCAGGAGCACGCGCCGCGAAACGTCTCAAGGGACGCGCCAAGCGACGTGCCAGGGGACGTGCCATGGGGACGCACGGCGGGACGTGCCAAAGGGACGCGCTACGGAACGTGCTGGGGACAGGCGTTTCGCTCGAGACATCCTGTCAAAATCCTCATGCTAGACATCCGCCTGGGCGACCTGGACACGTGAAAACAAGCGTTTCGCTCAACACATCCTCAACACATGCTCATTCTAGACATCCGCCTGGTCGACCTGGACACGTGAAAACAAGCGTATCTCTCGAGACATTCTCAACACATCCTCATGCTAGGCATCCGCCTGGGCAACCTGGACACGTGCAAACAAGCATCTCGATCGAGACTTCCTCAACACATCCCCATCCAAGACATCCGCCTGGGCGACGAGGACGCGTGAAACCAAGCGTTTCGCTCGACACATCCTCAACAAACTGGCGCTAGACCTCTGCCTGGGCAACCTGGAGGCGTGAAACCAAGCGTCTCGCTCGAGACTTCTTTAAGACCTGGGCATGTGAAAACAAGCATTTCACTTGAGAGATCCTTTGAATTCTGGTCCCCAGCAGAGGGCAATCTATAACACAAAGCAAGCGCTTCGCTCGAGACATCCTCAACAAATTCCGACAAACAAGCGTTTCGTTCGAGAAATCCTCACAAATTATTTCGCCGGCCATACGCGACCTCGCTACTCATTGCAAATAATTTCGCCGGCCCTACAACCGTCAGAACCAGGGGTAAACACACTAAAAGAGAACCCTGGGCCTAAGCCCTTTCCGGGAAAAACACGTGGTTCCAGCTCGGGACAATCATGTTAGAGATCTCCCTGGGTGGCCTGAGCATGAAAAAACACGTGGTTCCAGCTCGGGACAGCCATGTTAGATACCCCCCTACTTGACCTGGATACGCTGAATTGGCGCTCCCGCTCGAAACATCCTCGCAATGTCTTCCCTGGAGAGGCCCCCAAAGCGCAACCCCCTGTTCAGAGCAAGAAACCATCACTGTTCTGCATTGGGACACGTGTTCGGGTAGCGCTTTCGGCCCCCCGTGCGTTTCCTCATGATTCGGCGTTGGGCCCGACGCCATGTTAGATACCCCAACTCTGCAAAACCAGTGTTTCGTTCGAGACATCCTCAACAAATTCTGAAAACAAGCGTTTCGCTCGTGACATCCCCCAACTCTGCAAAACCAGCGTTTCGCTCGAGACATCCTCAACAAGTTCTGAACACACAAGCGTTTCGCTAGGGACATCCTCAAATTTAATTCGCCGGCCCACCTCGACCTCGATATTTATCGCAGAAGAAATTCGCCGGCCCACCTCAAGTCAAACCCAGAGGTAAACCAACTAAAAGAGAACCCTGGGCTTATGCCCTTTCCGTGAAAAATGAGATCTACATTGAAAGTCGAAGGGCTGTGGCTGGGCTCCTCTCCAAGAAAAACATGTTCTGGACGAGGCGCTTACAGCCTCAGCCATAATTCTAAAGGATATTGATTCAAGAGCACACGGACAGATCACGAATCGAAAATGGGAGCGACACCTGCGCTGCACTCGAGGACAGGCGGCAGGGATTACATCGAAGACTCAAAACTACCACCACAGAGACCGTGGAGCAACATTCATCTAAGATCGCGGCATACAGCACAACGCCCAGGCTCCACAAGTCCACTCTCTGGTCGTATCCCCGCAACGCCTTCGCCGGATCGCAGACCTGGCATTCCCTCCCTCGCATGTCAGGGACGATGTGTCATGCGTGTCTCGTCCTCTTTTTGCGTCCAGCTCGCGCTGCTCAATTCGCTCCTCTTGCCACTCGCTTCTCGCCAGGTGGGGGGGGGGGGGGGGCTGGGCCCAGCGATGGCCCCAGAGGGGCCCAGGTGGAGCTCTGAGAAAATGCGGGGGGACTGCTGATGCGGTCTGGCCGGCCCAAGGGGGAGGGGGACTGCTGGAGAAGCCCACCGCTGACCCAGCAGAGGTCCTGGCCTCGCCGAGCGGCAAGCGGTAATCTGCAACCCGTGCCCTCAGCACCTGTTCTCGCTGCAGAAGGCTGCGGCCGTGGAGCAGCACTTCACTCCTGCGCAAACGTACGGGGATCACGATCTCGTGGTTTCTCACCATGCTGCCAATGGGCACGATGGCTCCCCACAGGACCAAAGCAGGCGTGCATTGCGCCTGCGCACGCATTCGCGGCAGCGAGGTGTTGACGCGAGCACATGACAGGGGTCCTGACCAGGGTCAGAGACGGAGAACCAGCACTGATCTGGCGTTCAACTCTGGCGGCACACGCTGGCAGTACAATGACACTCGAGCGGGTTCCTTTTGCGGAACACCCTGGCGGTCCACTCCAGCGGTATGCTTGATGCCGCATGTATGTATACATCAATAGTGTGTGTGACAGGTGGGTGCGAGCTCAGGCTGTACACTACCGCGTTTCACTCTGTCGGTGGACTCTGGCGGTAAGCTCTCGTTGTCTTGCACGGCCACGACGGAAATGATGACAACGTCCTCGAGCAGAGCTCACTTCAACAACAGAGATGCGCTGCAGGGTGACACGGGACAGAACATACAGCCGCCGACGAGGCGCCGTATGCAACAGCATAGCTTCCGTCTATACATCTCCGCAGTTCCCCACAAGACACACAAACTAACCCGAACATGTACTCGCAGGACGCTCTGACAGGGCGGGCAGGGCGGGCCATTGCACTCTGGCTGTGCACTCCAGCGGCAAATTCTTGCGGTGTACTCTGGCGGTACACTCTGGCAGCCGAGTCGGGCAGCAGAGTCTGGCAGCAAAGTCTGGCAGAACCATCTGGCAGCAAAGTTTGCCAGCAGAGTCTAGCAGTGCCCTATTTTCTGGGTCTTCTTCTAGACCTGACCACTTGGCGAGATCCTACATATGTCGGGAGCGGCCAAGAGGGGGGTGTCCAAGAGGGGGGGGTGCAAATCATGACCGGCGGCATGTGCGCGTCCCAGCGGGGGGGCCAGGGACGTAATGAAATAAGAAGAGGCGCCATGAAATCTGGAGAAATATCATGGCCCACGCCATGATATCCACCCCCCCCTAGTCATCACCCCCCTCTTTTCCGCCCCCGAATATGCCCTCCTCCCTCCCAAGCGCACGATGGCCCACCCGTCTGAGCCTCCGTACACTACAGTCAACCCCTGTCGCGAGGCGAGAGTCGCCCGTTCTCCGCCCACGCAGCGAGAGCGCTGGGTAGGCACGCAGCTGGCAGGAAGCCATCCTCGCCGCGCCGGGGCCCGCCCCAGGGCACTTGTTGGAGGCCTAGAGCTGGGCACCAACACCAACACAGGGGGGCTGCCTCCACATGGGGAAGACGATCCTAGATTTCGGCGTTGGTGGCAGTATTTCGGCCACCTTGGAAGCCAGAATATTACCACCATCACCGAGATCGGGATCTTCTTCCCTCGGTAAATGCACACCGCCGATATTGGTGTTGGTGTCAATCTCTGGGCCTGCGACACTGGCAAACAGCTCCACCCCAAACCACCCCCCCCCGTGGGCACGGCCTGCAAGAGGGAGGCGGCGCGCGCTCCAGCCACGAACCTCACCCACGGGGGCGGCAACACCCCGCGGCCGAGGGCACGCCCCTCCCCGAGATCCGGGGCGCGCCTCTGCTCCCGCAGGCGCGCGCGGGCCTGCCGCCCCTGGCCTCGGCTCCGGCTCTGCCGTCGGCGGCGGGCGCGGCCGCACCCCCGCGGGCGGGGGGCGCCCCCCCCGCGGGCTTCACGCCGGGCTTCCCCCCTCCGGGCGGGGCAGCACCGCCGCTGCGCCTGCGCCCTCTGCAGCCTCCGGCCGCCCGCGCGGGCCCTCGCGGGCCCGCCGCCGCGCGAGCCGGCCGCCCTGGCGGCCATCCGAAGCCACCCTGGCTCGCTCGGCGAGCTCCGAGGCCAAACGAGCAGGCGGTCCAGGCGGTTGCGCGCTGCGGAGGGCCCTCGCAAAGGATCCTCAGACCTCCAAGAATAGGTGAGGCCTTGCGAGCACACACCTCCTCCTCCTCCTCCTCCTCCTCCTCCTCCTCCTCCTCCTCCTCCTCCTCCTCCTCCTCCTCTTCCTCCTCCTCCTCCTCCGCCTCCTCCTCCTCCTCGCCCTCCTCCATCCATTTTGTTTTACGAATAGTTCCTCCTTATCGCACCCCCAGCCATGTCGGTGGGGCGGTCTTGCGGTTTCGCCTGAGACTCTCTCGCCACTTGTCATCCTGGAGCTTGAAACTTGCAACAGTGTCAAGGATGGAGGGCGGGCTGTTTTCAAAATGTTGTTATCGCCTTTGCGCCGCACACATTCGTCTTATACGTTTGCAGCAGCTTCAAAGATGGAAGGCGAACCGTTTACAATATGTAGATATCGCCTCAGCGCCGCGAACATTCGTCTCAAAAGGTTGCAGACATTCCAAGGATGGACGACGGGCAGTTTTCATAAAGTTGCTATCGCCTCAGCGCCGCGCACAGTCGTTTTCAAAGTTTGCACACACTTCAAAGATGGAAACTGGGCCGTTGTTTTAAGTCTGACACTCATTTTATTGCAGCCCGCATCCATTTGCAAAGTTTGCAAAAGCCTCCAACATGGACGGAGAATCCTTTTCACAATATGGTTCTCGCCTGAACGCCACGCCACGCGCCTGCGTCTTAAAGGTCTGCAACCGTATCGAGGCTCCGTAGAGTTGAAGTCCCAGGAGTGGTGATATGGCAAGATTTAGGACTGTCAGGACGCTACAGTCTCGTAGATTCGCGGAGTTGTAGTCCCAGCAAAGGTGTCCTGGCACGACTTAGGATTGCCAGGACGCAGCAGTCACGTGGATTCGCGGTTTTGAAGTCCCAGGCATGATCTGCTAGGCACAGTTGAGGATTCTGATCGGCTGTCTTTCTTGTAGAAATGTCAATCAATTCTTGTAGGGATCTATTAGAGGAACTGAGGGGGGAGGCATCATTGCAACATCACTGATGCGTCTTAGGTTTACACTGGTCCTCCTCATCCTCATCCTCCTCCTTCTCCAACTCTTCGTCCTCCTCCTCCTCCTCCTCCAACTCTTCGTCGTCGTCCTCCTCCTCCTCCTCCTTCTCCTCCTCCTTCTCCTTCTCCTCGTCCACCTCCTCCTCTTCCTCCGCCTCCTCCTCCTCCTCCGCCTCCTCCTCCTCGTCCTCGCACAGGCCTGTCATCGCCGTGGGTTCATTCCCATGGGCTGCTACACCATCACAGCGACGTCGGCCAGCGCTTCCTCCGGCCCCGCTCGCCCCGACGGGCCAGAGCGGTCGGACTCCTGGTTGGCCAGAGTGCCCGCCCCGACATTGACACCTTTGGAGGCCTGGAAATGGGCACCAACACCAAAACAGGGGGTTGCCTCCACAGGGGGAAGATGATCCTGGATTTCGGTGTCGGTGGCAATACTTCGGTCACCTCGGAAGCCAGAATATTGCCACCATCACCGAGATTGGGATCTTCATCCCTCGGTGGAGGCACACCGCCGATCTTGGTGTTGGTGTCAACCTCTGGGCCTGCGACACCTCACCAGCCCCACACCGAAGGTGGAGGGCTCAGTCACTCCGCACCAGCTGGAACCAACGCTCCCTCGCGACCGCGCGCGGCTGCACTTCGAGGTCGGCCTCTTGTGCTCGAGGCATTTTTCCTCCTGAGCAGCCACTCGGCCCCCCTACTGGGGCGCAGGGTGGGGGAAGCGAACCGCCTGAGGTGTGAAACATTCGGGGCCCACGGGCAGCGTTCAGATCTAACCTCTGGGCCTCTGGGACCCAGTTTGGGGGGGCCTTATGGCAGAAGAGGAGGAAGGGGGAGTGGGGAAGAAGAAGAACCAGAGCACAAACCAGTAGGAGTGGTGGGAAGGAGGACAAGGACCTGCCCAAACAGAAATGAAGCATAACGCTCTTCACGTTAGCACATGCACCAAGGAGAGGCAAGCGGTGGGGCAAGCAGATGGCGAATCCTAGGCCAGTCGGCGAGAAAGCAAAGAGCAGAGAGCGATCGAGTCGGCGAGTCGCACCTCTCCCGGGCCTCCCCACTGCTCCACTGTATGGTCCTCCAGCCACGGGAGCCGGGCTTCTGAGATCGAGGAAGTCCCAGGAAGCCGCCCACATCCCTACCTTGCAAGGCATCAGGGGGGCACTCCCCACCCATCCCCCCCGCTCCCCCTTCCCCTCCCCACCCCCCCATCCAATAACGGTCGGTGCCCGTCGGTCGTTGTGCGTTGCGCATTGTGGCTCGTCGTCGTCGTCGTCGTCGTCGTCGTCGTCGACGTCGTCGTCGTCGTCGTCGTCGTCGTCGTCGTCGTCGTCGTCGTCGTCGTCGTCGTCGTCGTCGTCGTCGTCGTCGTCGTCATCGTCGTCGTCATCGTCGTCGTCGTCGTCGTCGTCGTCGTCGTCGTCGTCGTCGTCGTCGTCGTCGCCATTGCCGACGACGACGCTCCGTCCCAGACGGCTCCCGCGGGCCCCCCTCGCGCCCCGATCGCCTGCGCGCACAAGAGTGACCCTGGCCAAGAGTGACCTTCGGTGCGCGGCTTTTTTGAAGGGGCCCCAGGACACACAAAGAAATGCACACGAATAAAACGATTCCCCATCTTTCCCCCTATTTTTGCAGTTTCTGCCTTCCCCCCCCCACTTCCCATATTTTCCCATGTTTTTTTCTTGGGAGTCGACGATGAATTGTGCCTGTGTGTTTCTTTGCCTCCCGACTTTTGGGGGGGGCCGCGGGGAGGCCAAAATCCGGGCGCGCAGGCCGCTGCGGCCGCTTCGCGCTCGGCCAGCTGCGGGCCCCTCTGCGCCCGCACCAGAGGTCACCCCGGCGAGAGGTCACTCCCTACTCCAGATTTCGTAATAAAAGGGAGGGGGTCTGGACCCTCCAAGACAAGCCATTTCAGACCCACCCCCCGTGGGAGAACCCTCCAAAACATCGTCCCCAGACCCCCCCAGGCACTCCAAGATAGCCTGGAAGAGACCCCCCCCGAAATGAGACCCCCCTCCCTTTATTACGAAATCTGGAGTACGCCTAGTCGACCCGAGGGCGCGGCGCCCGTGCCGTTCTGTGGAGCGTGTCCCCCCGCAGGGGGTTTTCGACGAAAAATAAAAAATACCCCCACAACTGCACCAAAAAGGTCAAAAAATACCCCCAACAAAAGAGTCCCCAGACTATTCTTGCAGCATTATATTTACGATTTTGGGGGGCATCTTCGAATTGTCGTCGAAAATCCCCCCTGTAGGGGGGGGGGGCAGGCCCGACTGAAGTCCAGTCGACCCGACGGCGCGGCGCCCCTGCCGCGGCCCGGCACGCGCGCGCCTTCCCCTCCGCCCGCGGTGCAGCGGAGCGCTGGCGCCCGCCGGCGCCCGCGGCGCCCGCCCCGCCGCGGGCCCTTCTGCGCCCGCACCAGAGGTCACCCAGGCGAGAGGTCACTCCCTACGCCTAGTCGACCCGAGGGCGCGGCGCCCGTGCCGCTATGTGGGGCGTGTCCCCCCGCAGGGGGGCTTTCGACGAAAAGTAAAAAATACCCCCAAAAAGGCACCAAAAAGGTCCAGAAAAATACCCCAAAAAGAGTCCCCAGACTCTTCTTGCGGCATTTTTTTACGAATTTGGGGGGCATGGTTTCTTTAATTTTCGTCGACAACCCCCCTGTATGGGGGGGCAGGCCCGACCGAAGCCCAGTCCACCCGAGGGCGCGGCGCCCCTGCCGCGGCCCGGCACGCGCGCGCCTCGCCCTCCGCCCGCGCTGCAGCGGGGCGCTGGCGCGCCCCGGGGGCGCCCGCGGCGCCCGCCCCCCGCCGCGGCCTCCGGGGCCCAGTACTGCGGGGTGCCCACGCGGGTCAGGGCCACGCTGTAGCCGTCCTGGAGGCTTTTTTTTTCTCCTCAAACAAGCAAGCCTCGCGGCCATGCTTGGTTGATAAATCATTCCCCTGGTGCGCTGTGGGCTGTGGTAAGGATCGCAACGAAACAGCCCCGTCCTGGAGGTGTGGAGCCCCGGGGGGGGGGGGGGGGAAGGCCTCCCCCGGGCCCTGCCCAAAGGCCCCCGGGCGTGGAGCGGCCAAGAGGGGGGTGTCCAAGAGGGGGGGGGTGCAAATCATGGCCGGCGGCACGTGCGCGGCCCAGCGGGGGGGGGGGGGGCCAGGGACGTAAATGAAAATAAGAGGGGGCGCCATGAGATCTGGGGAAATAGCATGGCCCCCGCCATGATTATCCACCCCCCCCTAGTCGTCACCCCCCTCTTTTTCCGCCCCCGATGGAGGTGCGGAGCCCCCAGGGGGGGGGAAAGGCCTCCCCCGGGCCCTGCCCAAAAGGCCCCGGGGCAGCCAACCCTGGGCCTGGCGCGAGGCCCTATAGGGTAGCCCGGGGCAGGCCCTGCCCAAGGCCCCGGGGTAGGCCAGGGCAGGCCCTACGCAAGGCCCCAGGGTAGCCCAGGGGAGGCCCTACGCAAGGCCCTAGGGTAGCCCAGGGGAGGCCCTACGCAAGGCCATGGGGTAGCCTAGGGGAGGCCCTACCCTAGGCCCTGCCCAAGGCCCTAGGGTAGCCCAGGGAAGGCCCTACCCAACGCCCCAGGGTAGACCTAGGGTAAGCCCTAGCCAAGAGCCCAGGGTAGTCCCTACCCAAGAGCCACGCTGTACCCGTCCTGGATGAGCTTGGAGTGCCCGAAGTCCGTCAGCTTCACCTCGGGGATGGGGGGCCAGCTGCCAGGGGGGCGGGGGCCGCGGGGCTGCGCCTCCTTTCCGCGTCCTTCGCCGCTGCGCTTCTAGAAAGGGCGCCGAACATCCGCCGCCGCCAATCCCAGCAGGGGTATAGGGCATTGGATAAGGACCCATTGGATAAGGACTCCAGGATCTGGAGGCCAGAGGATCTCGAATTAGGGATCGGCCGTGGATATCACCGCCGCCATCATCAGACAAGAAACCATCCAGGGTCTAAAGCCTCATTGCCACATTCCTTAACGACGGCCCTCACCGTATTCGCACATATACCCGCGCATGCAAAAACTAAGATCCAAGGACGCAGCCCCGTCCCCATGGTGCGCGAAGTGATTTAAAAGAAAACTGTACGTCTGGCCCCGAACCGCCCTGCGCCGACACACCTCTCCATCCATACACCCTGCAGGCCCAAATTTCAGATCTGGATCCTGATCCAGTCCACTCCGCCAGCACGCTGTTCAAAAGCCCGCCACCTCCTCATGTCCAAGCCCCTGAACCACAATGCCGAAAGACTTCCCTCCCTCTACCCTTATTTCCCTACCCCCGACCTCTGGATCCAGAGCTAGATCCAGATCCAGCCCCCTCCCCCTCACTATGTGTAAGCTGTTCGGTGACTTGTCCCGATGTCCAAAGCCCTGGATAGCCATGCACCGACAGACACCCCTTCTCTACCCATACCTTCCTCTCCCCCTTCCCCCTCCCGTACCATGGATCCAGAACCAGACCCACATCAAATGGACATCTAAATTCAAGTCCAGCCCCCGCCCCTCCTAGTATGCGAGCTGTGCAATGCCCCATCCTCATTTCCAAGACCCCGGATGTACAGACAGCCCCCCTCCCTCCCTCTACCCTTCCCCCTCCCTCTGTCGCCCTCCGTAGCCTGGATACAGATCAGGACGCATGTCCGGTTGCAGATCCATCTATAAATCCAGATGCGGTCATTTCCTCCTCCTCCTCCTCATCGTCATCATCATGATCATCATCCTCTTCCTCCTCCTCCTCCTCCTCATCATCATCATCATCATCATCCTCACCATCACAGCGTCAGCATCAGCATCATCATCTCATCAGCATCATCATCATCATCATCATCATCATCATCATCATCATCATCATCATCATCATCATCATCATCATCATCATCATCATCATCATCATCATCATCATCATCATCATCATCAGCATAATCATCATCATCATCATCATCATCATCATCATCAGCAGCAGCATCATCATCATCCTCCTCCTCATCATCATCATCAGCAGCAGCAGCATCATCATCAGCATCAGCATAAGCATCAGCATCAGCATCAGCATCAACATCAGCATCTGCATCAAAACCATCATCAGCAGCATACTCATCATCATCATCATCATCATCATCATCATCATCATCATCATCAGTATCATCAGCAGCAGCAGCATCCTCATTCCTCATCATCATCACCATCACCATGATCATCACCATCATCCTCGTCATCATCATCACCATCAGCATCAGCGTCGTCATCATCAGCATCAGCATACTCATCATATTCAACATCAGCAACATCGTCATCATCATATTTCTTCCTCATCAACAACATCCTCATCATCAGCAGCAGCAGCATCAACATCATCACCTACATCACCATCATCAGCATCCTCATCGTCAGCAGCAGCAGCAGCATCCTCATCATGATCTTCATCATCAGCATCGTCAGCATAACCACAATCAGCATCATCATCACCGTCGTCATCAATATCAGCATCCTCATCATCATCACACTCATCATTATCTTCACCACTATCATCATCAACAACATCAGCATCAACAACAGCAGCATCATCGTCATCAGCAGCATCACCATCAACATCATCCTCCTCATCATCCTTGCAACCGTAAACCAGGGGCGGGGCACCAGAGGTAGCTGCCTTCGGTAATCGAACATTAGGTCCGCCCGCGAATCGGAGGCGGCTTCAGGGCGCCTCCCAGACAGAGTTACGTGTACCCCTCAGTGGCTCCCAGAAAGCGCGGGAACGGGTCGGGGCGGGCACCACTCTTTGTGGTGCCATGTTGGTACTCAAAGCTTGGTGTCTGGCTGCCCCGGTTGAAAGAACGACCCCGCGACGACGACCGCAGCGATCAGACCCTGAGCGCACAATACACCTGACCGTGGAGGGCCGTCGATGCTGGCGGATCACGCGAACAACAAGTGTAGGGAGGGCGAGAAGAAAGCACGGAGAAGCGGAGTGGCAGGAAGAGGAAAACGAGAGAGAGAAGGACAGAAGACCAGGAGGAGAAGGAGAAAGATTGGGAGGGAGAGACAGGGGAGTGGAGGGAGAGAAGGGGTAGAGGGGGGGGGGGCGCAAAAAGAGAAGGAGAAAGAGAGGAGGGGAACCGGACTGGACGCGTGGGAAAGAAGAACGAGCAGCGACAACCAAACGAGGTATGTGCCGACTGCACCGCCTTGTCTGGCGCCGTAAAAGCCGCTCAAGCCGAGGAATTGACCGAAGGACCGACCGAAGGGTCATAACAACGGTCGCAAGCCGAGGGGCGAAGAGACCACAAGGGACCTACCGAGACGACTCGTGAGGGCGAGAGGGAGGGGGGGAGGGAAAGGGCGAGAGGGAGAAAGCAGGGGGAAGAGGAAGGAAGGACAAGGGGAGAGAGGGAGGGTGGGAGAGAGAGCGAGACGGGGGCGGGGAGAGAGGGGGGGCGGGGCAGAGGAAGCGGGAGAGGCAGAGAGCGGATGTGTGGAGGGGGAAGCTGCAGGGGGGAGAAGAGGCGGCCCTTCATCCAGCTCCGGCCTCGCCCCACAACTAACATGCAGTCGGGGCCCTGACCTAAGGAACCCAACATAAGGAACGAGGCCCCTTTTTTCCATAAGTTAACCTTAGAATTCCGATCGAAAACATAAGGAAAGCCTGAGGCAAGCTGTGACACACTTAAGGAAAACGGAGCCCCTCCCCAACGAAAAGGGTTCCTTCTTCAGGGCCCCGACTGTAAGCGATCCCGCAAACACCTGCAAAAATAAAACCTCCCTTAATCACCCCACCCTTTCACACCTCCACCCCTTTTTCAAGCATCTCCACACCCCCTTTAAACACCTCCACACCTCCACACCTTTTCAAACATCTCCACACCTCCACACCCCCTTAGACACCTCCACACCTCTCCCGAACACCCCACGCACCCCCACGCGCACCCTCCAAACGCCTACCCAGAACACCAGACCCTCCTCCCCTGAACACCCCCCAACAAAAATATGATCGACCCACGAACCCGGAAAGGAATATAGAAATGTAACGCATGGAAAAGTTTTCAAAGACAGCTGATTGGGTGACGGGCAAATGCAATGCTGAAGGTATCGATCTTGATGTAACCTGCCGAGGGCTGTGCTGTGCTGCACCGTGCTGAATTGCGATGTGCCATGCCGCGGTTGTGCTCTATAGCGTCGTGGATCGAGTCCTCCTTTGCATCCGAGTCCTGACCGAACTGGTCTGGATCTCAAGCTCGAGCTGCCTGAACACATAGTAGATACCCCAGAGCTAAGTGACAGGGGGACATGCCAGGAGGACGCGCCGCGAAACGTCCCAAGGGACGCGCCAGGCGACGTGCCAGGGGACGTGCCATGGGGTCGCACCGCGGGACGTGCCAAGGGAACGCGCTACGGAACGTGCCAGTGGATGTGCCACGAGATGTGCCAGGGGACGCGCCACGCGACGTGCCAGGGGGACTCGCCAAGGGACGCCCCACGGAACGTGCCAAGGAACGTGCCAGGTTGCAATGCTGAGTGTATCGATCTTGATGTACCCTGCCGAGGGCTGTGCTGTGCTGCACCGTGCTGAATTGCGATGTGCCATGCCGCGATTGTGCTCTGTAGCGTTGCCTCTGCCTGGGCAACCTGGAGGCGTGAAACCAAGCGTCTCGCTCGAGACATTCTCAAGACCTGGACACGTGAAAACAAGCATTTCACTGGAGAGATCCTGTGAATTCTGGTCCCCAGGAGAGGACAATCTATAACACAAAACAAGCGTTTCGCTCGAGACATTCTCAACAAATTCTGAAAAAAAAGCGTTTCGCTCGAGGCGTCCTCAAAAATTCGCCGGCCCAACCGGCCAGAGGCGTGCTAAGATCTCCGGTAACTACTTAACAATATTTCTAGTTCGCGCGCGCGGGGCGGCCCCTGGGGGCCCCCGGACGAAAAGTACCCTGGCTGACCCCCAGGCGGGTCCCGGCCGGGTCCCGGGCGATCCCCAGGGGGGAGGCTATTTTTTGCCACCCCTCACGAGGATCGTGGCCTTCGAGGGGATGGCTGCAATCGGCTACCCCCCCTCCCGCCCGAAGGGGCCCCCAAGAACCCCCTAAGAGGCCCCAGGGGAGCCCAAGACGCCGCCAAGGAGCCCCAAGACGCTCCCAAGAAACCCCCAAGAGGCCCCCAAGACGGCCCCAAGAGGCCCCAAATAGCGCTCCAGGGCCGGCGGAATGAGCGAAGCGATTAAATAATTCCGCTGGCCCTAGTCGACCTCGTTATTTATCCCAAATAATTTCGCCGGCCCTAGAGCCGTCGAAACCAGGGGTAAACCAACTAAAAAACATTATCCCGGCAAAGCAACCGAACAGCGATGTGTAGGAGCATATCTGGAAGCATTCCCCTTAAGATTCAGATGAGAATCCAGTTGTAGAATTCTGTTGTTCTCGCAGTCGTAGTCGCATTCGCGATGACAGTCGCAGCGGCAACGGCAGTCGCAGTCACAGCCTCAGCCTCAGCCTGCCTCAGCCTCAGACTCAGCCTGCCTCAGCCTCAGCCTGCCTCAGCCTCAGCAGCCTCAGCCTCAGCCTCAGTCTGCTTCAGCCTCAGCCTCAGTCTGACTTCAGCCTCGGCCTCAGCCTCAGCCTGCCTCAGCCTCAGCCTGCCTCGGCCGCAGCATCAGCCTGCCTCAGCATTCAAAATGTGGCCCAGGAATGGAATTTCTGGGAACTAGAA